TGAAAATAGTGTATATATTTCTAAACTTATTGATACAAGAGAAATAGTTGATAGCAATTTATCTTTTCAAGATTTTTATTGAATAACAAAAGAAATGTATTGTATTTCGAGAATATTAATTTATTTTAAAAAGATTTTTTAAATTAGTTGATAGTTATTAGCCGCGCAATGTTAATTTTTCGTTTTGCATTACATAGAAACTGAAATTTGGGTCGGTTGATCGGCTTTTTTTTTGCTGTCAGCCCAATCGGATAATTACAGTTTCATCGGAGAAAAATAAACGGCAAAAACAGAACAATTAGAACGCACCTAGTATCGCCACCAAATCAGTTACGTAGCGCCTTTTAAATTTTAATCTGCGCACAAGAATAACAAAATCACAAGAGCACGAAATTTTTTAAAAAAATAATTGTTTTTTTATATATTCAAGTTGACGAGAGGTCAACAGATCGAAAAGGCAATCGATGCAATGATGCACTGGCAGCTGACAATCACGCGGAAATCTTGGAGCCACAGGCAAGATCCTGTTTATACGGCTCCAAACAAGTATGACGCAAATAGGGGCAGAGCGCCAAGATGAATAGGGCCAGGTAAAAGGGCAACAGCAGCAAGCGGCCAAACAACGGCCTTTGAAAGCGAAACATTCGCACCCGGCCCACCGACTGAATATCTCTTTGCAAAGCAATGTACAGTAATAAAGTTTTAATATCCTGCCTTACTTGGGCTGGAGCGCATCCAATATCTAAGATCTTGTGCGAGTAAGACTTTCGACTAATTCGAATTTATTTAATTATTACTACAATCAATTCGAATCTATAAAATGCATTTTTATCCAAATTCAAATTTTATTTAGTACGCGTATAAACTTTAAATTTTTTTTTTGCTGTTGGCATTCTATTATTTAAGTCTTTATTATGATAATGCAACTTTAGTATATACAAATTTGGTGTTATTATTACATAAATTGAAGAAATTGTTTTGTTAAACTTTAAATTTGAATTTAATGCTACTAGTAAAAGGTGTTTTAGTTGCGCCTACTCCAAGAGTTTTTGCTCATTTGAAATCTTTAATGTCATCTACTATTTTTTAAATAGGATTAAAGTTCGATTCAAAATTTCGAAGCCATTTTTTTGTTTTGAAAATTATTAGATTGTTCAAACAATTAAACACTTAAACATAAAAGTAATAAATATATTAAATTAATTGAAATATGGAAAATTTAATGATAAAAAAATTTTTTTTATACCTTTTGAAGGATTTTTTGTACTTTCTTAAAATTTCAGATTTGGATTCATATATTTAGTACTCGATTTCTCACTATCTATGTTTTGGTTTGCTGGATCGATTGTTAAATTGACTTATTGCAATTAACTAAGGTCAACAATGAGTATTTTCCCAGAAAGGTTCTTTAGCTTCTATAATAAACAGATATTGAGAATTTTGTTTTGTTTAAATTAATATAATGTTTGATTTAGAAAATGTAAACCATAAAATAATGATATTCCTTTCAGAAAAATGATGAATTTATCTTTCTAAGAGAATTAACCAAGATGTTTGTTTAATAAAAATTTTTTTAAAAAAATAAGGATAAGAACATATCCAATTTTGATAATTAGTTAAATACTACTGCACATTTTTAATGCTACAGTATGCATAGTTAATTTATTATGCAGTTTTGAATTTTTATGCATGATGATAATATTTGTTCATTTGACAATTTTTTAGTAAGTATATAACAGCACATGGCTAGTTAAATTGTACAAGTAATCCTTTTTAGCATATATAATCTATTAAATAATGTAATTAGTGTTGGCAAATAGAACAATAGAACAAAAGCTCAATTTTTTGTATTTATATAAAAATATTTTTTTCATTAATAATTTGCAATTATTTAAATATATATTGTTAAAGCATTAGTAAAGTAATAAATTTAAAATATTTTTATATTT